CTTTATTTGGGGTTATTCCGATGCACTTTAAATAATGAGAGGTGTGTACTGACTCCTATTTAACATGATTTTGAACGCAATTGCTTAATTCTGAACACAGCTACATCCCCAGTTATAAGGGGGTGTGCGCACTTATGCAACCACACTATTTTAGTTTATGTTTACTCCCCCCCAAAAGATTTCAATTGAGTTGTACAGTTTATAGGTCACATTAAAAAGGTAGGAAAAATTCTGAAATTATTTATCTTTGTCTCATTTATTTACATCACAGAAACCTGACATTTTAACAGGGGTGTGTAGACTTTTTATATCCACTGTATTTCCTGGCCCCTTCCTCTGCTCTCCATCCTTAAACGATCCCCTGCAGCAGCCAGCGGGAAAAGAGGGGACACTAGCAGCACTGCAAGGGGTGACAGGGGAGTCACAGAGGGCCTGGGCAGGAGAAATAAGAGTGACCTGGATAGGAGGGACAGCATATACAGAAATAGTCCCCCTCCATTTTTCTCCTGCAGCTGCTGAAAGCCAGCAGGAGGGAGAGGAGACAGATTTTTGCGGCTGCAGGAGGAAAATTAAGGTGGCTGGTTTCTGTACATGCTATCCCCCCTATCCAGGTATAGAATCAAATGCGATAGGGAAGCCCCCGGAGCATGGGCGGGATCACCATTGTGACCCCTGTGGCCCCAACACTACGCCAGTAGTCACCCTGCACAAGTTCCAGTATGTCTAGGACTCACCCCTGCCCAATGCTGGCTCCTGTCAATCCCCCAAAAATTGGAATGTCCCAAGTACAGGACCAGGGAAATCTCAGTGTCCCTCAATGTGTAGAAGCCCCCAGGCCTGTCAGTGGTCCTGGACTGTAAAATGTTTTCAGCCCCTCCAAATCCCCCCCCCCCTCTCATGCTCCTCTCTTACCACTTGATGAGCTTGCTTGTAGGATTTGTGGCATATACCCCTCTGCTGAGCTTCCATGACTAAGGAAAGGTGGGAGGGGCAATAAGAGAACACGGAAACTGAGCTGGAGCAAGAACTGAGGGGAGGGGCAGCAGCAGCTCACAGAGGGGCGAGGACACGTGGCTAGGAGGCAGTGTGATGAGACGTTCTGTGCAAGAGCACATACTTCTTATCATCCCCCTCAGCAGATGACCCCGCCGCCTCTACTCAGTGGCCCCAGCCCACCTAGCCTAGCCCATCATGTGACCCTGCTGCCCACACACAGGCACAGCAGGGGTGGAAACATTTCCACAGTGCAATTTCTGCTGAGAGCTAAATTTTAAATACTTACTGTGAGAAGGAATATTCTTTTCCAAATGCTATAAGGAAGACAAAAGACATCCTTGCATGACAGAGGTGCCCTGAAGACATTAAATACTTTATGGAATTAAATGAGGACCATAATGAAAGTGCAAGTAGCTTTTCCTCCAGAGTTCCATTCCAGAAACACTCTTTCTGCTGCTTCTAGATCATCACAAAGTGTTTCTTCACCAGCATCTTCAAGGAAGTGTTACAAACCACTGCCTCCCAAAAATACACAATACATTAATTTATAGATAAATTGGCACCTGAAAATGAGTGGAGAATTGATCAAGCTCTTACAAGAGCAATATATGCTTCTGTCAATAACTGAAAATGCACAATGGCAGGAAGCTTTTAAATTATTATAAGGGAAAAAGAGGTGGTTACCTCTTCTCATGCATAGTTGAAATGTTCTTAACCTCTTGCCGTCCGCCTGCTGTTTATAAACAGCAGGGCGGTGGCAGTCCAGGGGCTGGTTGCCGTTCATAAACGGCACCCGCCTTTTCTAGCTGTGCGCGCTCCCTGGGAGCGCGCAGCACCGTGATCCGGTGCCCGCTGTGTCCTCCAGACACAGTGAAACACCGATCGTCGGACGGGACCTCTGTACGAGGTCCCGATCATGTGATCACTGATTGGCCAATCAGTGATCACATGCAAAGTAGTAAGCAAGATGTCACTTGTGACATCATTGCTTACTACGTGTGAAATCTGTGAATGATCACAGAGGTCACATGGTCCAAGGCTATTCACAACAGCCTTGTACCATGTGACAAGCTGTGACCAATCACAGCTCACTCAGTACTTCTCAATGACTGCAAGAATGCAGACAGAGAGAAAGAGAAATGATTGCTTTTACATCCTATATGGGTGTAAAAGCAATCAGTGTAAAAAAAAAAAAAAAAAAAAAAAAAAATCTTCATCACCCCCCACAAGTAGTACAGTGTCACCATGGTGACACTGTACTGCTAGGGTGACAGTATGTAAAAATAAAAAAAAATAATATAAAAAAAAAAATAAAATGTAAAAAAAAACGGTTTAAAAATTATAATTTTTCATTATAAACTAATTTGGATTTTTTTTACTAAAAAAATAACGGAATAAATTTTGGCCAAGATTTATGATGAAATATTATTTATTTGCAAAATTTTATTAAAAAAAACCCACTTTTTTCAAAATTTTTGGACTTTTTCATTTACATAGTAAAAAATTCATATGGGTACAGTATTGCATGACCGCGCAATTGTCATTCAAAGTGTGATAGCACTGAAAGCTGAAAATTGCCCTGGACAGGAAGGGGGTAAAAGTGTCCGGACAGGAAGTGGTTAACATATACAGTACTGTCCTTGTTATTCCATTTGTAAAAAAAATACAGTTTTAAAAAGCAAGTATAGTTTACGTACTGAATAAGCAGTACTTTTATTTCAAGCATAATACTTTTATATACACTGCATTTAATGTTTCCAGAGTAACTGTCAGGAATCTAGGAATGACCAGAAAGGTGTGGACTGACACAGGGAAACGCCGGCTTCAGGTATAGTATAATAATACAGTTTATTATTAGCCACCCAGATATATATATATATATATATATATATATATATAAATATATATATAAACGCACAGTGAACAAACCAACCTTCCACTAATCTTAGTAGGTGCAGGAACACAGGCGTAGTCAGGGCTGGAGAGGTGGAATGGTCAGGCCGGCCGTAGGGTTCTGTAATGACCGTTTGATGGTACCTCTAGCGGTCCCCAGGACAGGATTCCCCAGGGCGCGGAGTCTAAGTCCCAGTCTGCTTATTCACCAGGGCCCCTGATGGTGGGGATGGACTTGGAGCAGACAGGAACCAGGTCGCGGCCCCTGAGTACACCTGCTAGTGGTAGAGGGATCCGCCAGAGGTATGTGCAGGTAGAAAGCCTGATGTGAAAAGGCAGAAGGTGTGAGCAGGGACGGCTGGATCCGTGCAGGATGGATGGATGGCAGAGTAGTTAGCGTGGTCAGACAGGCCAGGTCAGCAATGTGCGGGCACCAAGGTACCAAAGGAGCAGGCAGAGAATGGTCAGGGTCACAAGCTGGGTTCAGTAACTCATGGGCAGCGCGGTACAAAGGATCAGGCAGAGAATGGTCAGGGTCACAAGCCGGGTTCAACAGGAGACGATCAGCAGAGGTCAGAATCAAGCAGGGTCAGCAACGAGGCAGGAACACAAGATACCAGGTACAGGGGCTCATGGGAAAACATACACCAAGGCCCAGACTGCAGGTCTGGCCATCCCTTAAATACACCTTCTGCAATCAGCCCCAGGTTTGGCTGATTGCAGAAGTGAGCTTCTGGCTGCTGAGAGCACCCGCTGGTCAGCCCTGGTACTGCAGCCCACACGGCAGGTGAGTCCCACCACCAGTGCTGAGTCCGTTCCTGACAGTAACAAAATTACTTTCAATTTGTTAAATTACTCCACACTGATTTTTTTTCCAGAGAAAAAAAAAAAAAAAAGGGAAATTTTTATGATTTCAAAAATTCCAGAAATTTTACATCTCTAGGCACTAGTCATCTAATTTTCACTTATGTGGAGACAATTAACCTTGAGCTATTGAGCTCTGTAACAGGACAGGAAGCTACAGAGTTCTACCAGCCTACTTTATAGAAGGTATAATCAAAAGCAATATTTTATATATTTACTTGACTAAAAAAATAAACAATATTTTATTTAGTCTTTACTAATATGTATAACACACATTGATGAGCCATAACTTGATGACCACTGACAGGTTAAGTGAATAACCTAATTATTTCATTACAATGGCATCTGAAAGCTAGTGAGATATATTAGGCAGCAAGTGAACATGTTGTCCCTAAAGTTGATGTGTTTTAAAGCAGAAAAATGGAGCATCACAGTTTGTTGTGTATGAGAGTGCATAGCCACAGACCGGTCAGGGTGCCCATGGTGACCTGTGTCCACAGCCAAAAGCATCTGAGATGTATTTGGCTAAAAATCTGTGGCCAAGGCAGTGTGATGCTTTAGGCAACGTTCTGCTGAGAGAAACTTTGGGTCCCGCCATTCATGTGGATGCTATTTGACAAATACCACATACCTAAACATTGTTGCTGACTAAGTATACCTCTCTGCGGAAACGGTATGAATGATGGCAGTGGCCTCTTTCAGCAGGTTGATGTACCCTGCCAAACAGCAAAAATCGTTCATGAATGGTTTGAAGAATACATCAACAACTTTGAGGTGTTGAATTGGCCTCAAATTTTCCAGGACTCAATCCAATAAAACATTTGCAGGATGAGCTGGAAAAAACTAGTCCAATTTAATGGAGGCCCCACCTCGCAACTTACAGAACTTTAAGCTTTTGTTACAGATAGCTTGGTGCCAAGTTTTGCACAGCACACCTTCAGAAGTCCATGGCTGCATCCACACTGTGATGAATCAGAGCTGTTTTGTTGGCAAAAGGGGGACTTACTCAATATTAGATGGATGGTCAAAGTTATGGTTGATTGTTGTATGTACCAATCCACAATATATTCATATAAAACATTAAAAAGATTTCATCTACTATAGAATAACTGCACATAATACAAATACTGGTCACTGTTATTACATAAAACTGATCACTCTTATTGGAAATGGAAACCTGCCTTGATATTTTGTGCATCCAGAATAAATGGATCGGAAACACCCGTGCAGGTAAAGGATTCACGTACATGCATTCCAGGTAGATCCTGACGTCTGAACATGACAATGCTGGTCGACTCAATACTTGGAAGAAAGTCACAATGTTGTACACGTCTGCTAATTGTTCTTCTAGTTAGGTGCCATCAGTGACTGGCCACATACAACGCATAAGGACAGCTGCCTTGATGCTTCTTAAATTGACGTTCTTTCACCTACAAAGGAAGAAAAGGAAACATAATGTAATGTTACAATGTTTACAAAGATATCTATGTAAAGATGGCATTTATTATACATATTCAGCTTTGACAAAACATTATTTCTGTAACAAAATAAAAATCATATTAAAGCCAAATTTCTGGCAATTTTTTTTTTTTTAAAGCAGCTCTAGCTGCAATAATCGTGTTCAGTCTGGATCTGTCCCACACAGTGCTTCTTCCAAATAACATATTCTCCATCTTCTGGCTTGCATGACTTCAGGCATCCCTCATCCCAGAGGATTTAATACATACTGCGAATGCAGGAATGCACTACACCACCCTAGGAGAGTTACCATGAACCCTTCATTCCCAGTGCACTCCTACAAAAAGCAGTTCTGATGTCAAGGACTGATCTCTGCATCAGTAAGAACCTAAAGAAAAGTTTAAAGAGGACTCATTGCATTGCTACATGACTGGCCTGATTAAAAGGTATGTAATAAAATAAAAATGTAGGGTCACTATGGGGGGTGGGGAACAATTTGCTAGGCTAGTTGGGCTTTAAAATCCAATCATGTCCACAGACAATACAATTGGATGAGTTATGAAATTTTGTCTGCTCACTACAGGTTTCCCAATATAGTCTTGCACTAGGACACGTGTCAAACAAGGCTCATGAGCTAAATCCAGTCCTCCAGTCCATTTCATGTGTCCCTCGCAACCAGGGCTTTTTTTTCCCCAGCTAGGACATGGCGGAAATCTGTTCCACCACCTCTGGCTCTCATCCTCTGCTCTGCTAAAGAATCCTTCTGTTTTTATAAAGGACAGCTTTTCTCTCGGCGTCTCTCACAGATCCCTGCTTGCCCTGCAGTCACTCACTGCGGGGCATGGCAGGGACAGACACCGACCAATGATCCCCCTTCAATTGAAAGAAAAAAAAGCCAGCGCTGCCTACACATCTGGGAGGTAAAAAGTAAAGGTACAGCACAAGGGAGATAATTGTGAGGAAGCTTTTGGGGGTGGGGGAGAGAGGAGGGCTGTAGAGGAAGATATGAGCAGAGATTGGGGATGGAGGAGAGTGGTGCAGAGGTCAGAGCCGAGGAGGGGTGTGAAAGTGAGATATGGATTGCCTGTGAAAGAGAGCTAAACCCTGCACTCTGTGCATAGCACACCCCTAAACCCTGTACTCTGTATGTTACGCACTCCTGAACTCTGCACTCTGTAAGTAGTGCATTCCTGAACTCTGCATACATAGTCTTACAGATACAACCAGCCTTTTGAGGGCAGCAATAATGCCAATGCGTCCCTTAATTAAACTGAGTTTTACACCCCTGCACTAGAACCATCTGTGAAGCAGTGCTTTCCCCTTTTTGTCCATAGTCCAAAAGAGAAACACCTACAGAACTCAAAGTTAACTGTTTTCTAATGTTCATGTCCAGTTTAGTTCAACAGCATTCCGTTTTAAATTACGTATAAAACTATTCATAGTAGAGTGCAGCTGTTTTTTTTTTTTTTTGTTACATATTGGTAAGCACCCCTTGACATGACTTTGCTGCCAGAGACTGAAAAGCTTAGAGAAGGAGGGTAACAACACTGATTACTTATGTGTCAAAGCAAAGCAAAGCTCTTTTGGCCCTTATTTCTATGGATCACAGGAGTGCACTTAGTTCTGCACTCCTGTGACCCGCTTTCAGCCAACAGAGTATTAATGCCCGCTGTCGGCTGTTATCGCTCAGCTGGTCCAGGGTTTGGAAAGACTCCAGCTTTAATATCTGTATCCACCCAGATCCCTGAACAGAAGCTGGCAGTGCTTCCTCCCCCTCCACAACCTAGTGTTTCATTGAGCGCTGGTGGAGCAGAGCAGGTGACCAACAGTCACTGACTCTCTGCTCATTGAAGACAGATGACTGATCAATCATCAGTCTTTGATCACGCAGTTCTTGGTCTTAGAGGCAGTGGGGGGATAGATGCAGCAGTGGACTGATGCTATCTCAGCATATTGTTTTAAAAAAAGAGCTGGATTCATTCCTAAATATATAACTGGAAACTAATTTTTATTTATAGGTAATCACACCAGGGGTAGTTGAATCAGAGAATATCCAATTGCCTCTTGGAAGATCAGGAAGGATTTTTTTCGGCCCTGGAGGAAATTGGATCATGTGAATATACAATACCCATGCACCCATGGCTGAAGACTGGTGCTCTGGCAAAAATGTAAAGTAGTCCATAATAGCATTAAGCTGCCACTCGATATAATCCATAAAACCAAGAATCTTTATTGGCTACAAGTAAAAACACATTAATAGCAAGCTAACCTGTTTCGGCTATAACAGTCTTCCTCATGGCACGAGCTATGAGGAAAGGCTGTTATAGCCGAAACATGTTCGCATACTATTAATGTGTTTTTACATGCAGCCAACAAAAATTCTCGGTTTATGGATCATACCGAGTTTCTTCTTAATTCCATTATAAGTAAATTGAAACGTTTTATTGTTTTATTTTGGCTTCCTCTGGGCCAACTGTGTGTAGGATTGCATATATTGAGGTTTACTATTCAATTGTTTTTCTCTGTTGGTTGAACTAGATTAACTAGTATCTTTTTTTTAACTTAAGGTAACTTTATAATTTGACAAACACACACGCAAAAAAACAAAACCATCCTGAACTTACACAAGTTCATAAAGGGACCCCAGCTCTCCCCCCCCCCCCCCCCCCCCCCCCCCCGATAGAGCAAACCGTGCTGCATCCCATTATTGCCCCATGTTCTTACTTTCTGATAGCTGCCAGTTCCTCTGCACAAGCATCCTATAGACTTGAATGAGATGTACCAATATAGCAAGAGCAAAGTTCCATTCAATTCTATGTGACACTAGTGTGTTGACATGGGCAGGCTGGCACTAGATTTTTACCGGATACACTGCAGACAATGTGGAAGACCTCGGCCATGCAAGAAGGTAAATAAGACCTTAGAGGAGTGGTAAAGGTTACTGTACTGAGGGAGCTAAAAAGAAAAAAAAAAGGGGGGGGGGGACATGACTGGGGGGGGGGGGTTATTTTTAAATTTGTGAATTTGTTCTTTGAAGCGCGACTAAATTCAAAAGCAAAAATGTAATATATTGTAGCTGATCAGTCCTTGGTGATGGCTTAGTTTACCTTTTATAAGCCTTTTTTTCCTTTATTTCCTCCGGTAATGCTGCTAGTAACACTTCCTGTCATAAGCTGCTCTCCTGATTTGGACTACAAACACTCCCTCCATCACATAGGGAGGATGTGTTTTGCAGTTCATAGAAAAAAGAATGAATGAAAGAAAGGTGTTCTGTGATTGGAGGATTTGCAAATGAATGGTATGAATGTCTCTAACCACAGAATGGTTTGCATTAATCTAAAATAGTTCAAGACTATTTCGGAATGAATGAGCTTTCGATTGAGCAACCCTTTGTGAGCTGTTGACTGCAGCCATTATTAGTGCAATTTTCCTTCTACAAATATTTTTTTGCTTTTACAAATATTAGAGTTCAGCTAGAGAGTAATATAAAAATGCAGCATTTCAAAAAAATATTTCATTCTGGAGGAGCAGTAAAATCTTTTCCAGTACATACTTTATTTATTAAAAGGCCAGTTCACACCGGGAAACGCACTGCGCACTCCTGTGCGATTCACATACGATCCCGTGCAGTGCGAAATAGACCGCAGCAAAAGTAATGCATGCACAACTTTAAAAAAAATGCACTGCAACCAGATTGTATGCGTTCTGGTGTGAACAAGCCCAAAGTGCTCTTTAGCGCTTCCACATCTAGGTAGGGTTTTTTTTTGTTTTTTTTTGTGGGGGGGGGGGGGGGGGGGGGTTTCCTATTTCACCTCTTGGCGATAACTCTAGCCTTCACTCTAGTGAAGACACATTCTATAACAGGGAATCATGATATAATTGTGTTTTTAACAAGGAACAGGTTCAAAACACATGGAATGTTTACAAAGGTCTTGATATAAGATATGTATGATATAAGACTACGCCCCCGGAGTATACTTCAGAATATTATGGTTTTGGAGAACTTTTTATTTGTATTTATGAAATTTACATATATTTCTGATATTAAGTAAGATGTCTTAGAATCTGCACGTATCTCTGAAAAAACAGACCTTGTTTTGGGAAATGAGCTGGATAAACAGCCCTGTGTACAAACCTCTATGTATCACAGAAGAATAAGGTGAATGTACAAACAAGTGTGAATACAGAGAGTAATATGCAGGCAGCAAAGTGGCCAAGTGGTAAGAACTTCCACCTAGCTGCACTAGAGTCCTTGGTTTGAAACCCAACCACGGCACTACATGCACGGAGTTCACCTTCTCACACTCCAAAGGCATGCTGGTAGGTTATTCGGCTCCTGGCTAAATTGGCCTTAGTATGTGTGTGAGTTACAGACCATAGACTTTAAGGTCTTTGAGGGCAGGGACTCATGTGAATGTAAAATATATATATGTAAATTGATGGCACTTTATAACTACCTAGAAATAACATCTCCAAAGCTAAAATCTTATCAGCTGATTTGTACAGTATGCTGGAAAGGAAACCAGGTTTTAGCAAATACTCTCTTTTAGTACAATTTACATATACTAAAGCTATAACAATTTTTACATTTGGGTTGAAGTGTTGAATGCCTACACAATTTCCCGTTACGCATTACTTTCCTTCTTCAGAAAAACCAACACAGTTCAGTTTACTGCAGCTCAGTAGGTGATGGATTGGTTTGAATTGGTTTTGCTGTTCGTACTGCACTGTGCTTTACTGAATAAGTCTACATGTCAGGAAAGCTGCTGCTTTGCTTATTCCTGATTATGCTGCGACAAACAGACTACTACACTTCTACTGC